ATTCGACTGTCGTTATCGTAGAGTGCTAATAAAGGCATAATTATCAATTTCGAGCAGCTCGATGCCTCTGCAGACAATGATTTTCAGAGTTGGTCATTCATCCTTCCTTCTCTGCTTGTATTTCTAAATGTTTGCTCGAGATGTAAGTGAAATTGCTCTGAAAATAAAAGTGAGATATAAAATATTTATAGTCTGGACATTGCGAGAGTATATATCTACGGATACTATCGTTACACTGCCTGAGCCAACCTGCACATAGGCACCGCACCTATGCAGAAAAAACGAAAAAATGACGCGTTGTGATGTAAAAGAAATTATGACAGTCTTTAAGGCTGTCATAATTTCTTTTACATTACAACGCGTCAAACTAATAGTTTAACTCATCGATAGCGAAATGTATGGAGAATATTTAGTACGAGGAAAATATGCAAAAAATTTTGTTCTTTCCTTTCTGTTATTGACTAATTCGTGCTAATTAACATTGATTTAGCCTACTCTATTAGATTACAGTCCCATTTGTAAAATAACGACTCAACGAAAAAATTCAAACAATACCTCATTTGATAGAGAATTTCACCGGCTACAAGATGGATATTTTAGAATACATTTTTGGCTACTCGGTTAGTCTAATAAGTCGAAAATTTAACAACATTTTTTTGAGTAATAAATTTTTTCTCAGCCAAATAATTTCAGTAGGGGAAAAAGCTTCAGAACATATACTTTGAAGTGTCCTCTACAAATTGGGAAAATTTAACAAAAAAAATTAACAATTAAAAATTTCTCTAATTTTTAGCTAAGAGAAAATATTTTCACATTTTTGCCCGTAGTTTCTCGAAAAGGAAGCATTTTGGAGAAAAGGTGTGGCTGCTATAGTTGTTCAGAATGTCATTTTCTATGCGATAAGACTTTGTTGGTCCTTAAACTGATTCAACTTAAAATTTCATAAATTTTAATTAAAAATTCGATTTTAAGGAATTTCGAGCTAGCAAAGACTTATCGCATAGAAAATCACATTCTGAATAACTTTTGCAGTCACACTTTTGCTCCAAAATGAATATTACTTCATTTTATATTACAAGGGTTTGAGAAATGGAATTACATCGGCTATCAAATATCACAAAGAACAGACGTAGAACTTTGAGCATATAAAACTATTAATTTTGTTTTTGAAGGCAACGAAATAAATATGTTATTTGTTTTTTTGTTCTTTGTCCTACCATAAAATATATAATGATAAGGACCATGCTTACGCTGATAAGGTTCTGTTTGTCGAATTAACGAGAAATCAAAAATCTATATTTAAATTTTTAATGATATATCATTGAGAATGGATTCTGTTCCAATAATTGATGTCACTTCACTAGTGTGCAATGAAAAGGATTTAGTCCAACAAGAAGAAACAGCAAAACAAATTCATAATGCTTGCCAAGAATGGGGTTTTTTCTATATCAAAAGTCATGGAATATCACAACAATTACAAGAGAAATTACAAAAACAAAGCAAAATATTTTTCGCTCAACCTGTGGACGAAAAAATGAAAATTTCGATGACAAATGGTGGTCGAGCATGGAGAGGCTATTTTCCTGTTGGTGATGAATTAACATCTGGAAAGCCTGATCAGAAAGAAGGCATTTATTTAGGAACCGAATTATCGTCCGCACATCCTAAAGTCGAAAGCGGTATTCCGCTGCATGGTAAAAATCTATTTCCTGAAAATATGCCAGAATTTAAGAACACTATATTACAGTATATAAATGAAATGGAAAAATTAGCACATTCGTTAATGATGGGTGTTTCTTTATCATTAGGTTTGGAGGCTGATTTTTTCGAGAAAAACTATTTAAAAGAGCCAACATGCTTATTTCGTATATTTAATTATCCAGCTAATAAAAACACAAACAGATCGGAAGAAACATGGGGCGTTGGTGAACATACAGATTATGGTCTCTTGACCATTTTATTGCAAGATAACACTGGTGGACTAGAAGTAAAAAGTAAATCGTATGGCTGGGTGAAAGCACCGCCAATTCCCGATACATTCGTATGCAATATTGGCGACATGTTAGATCGCATGACGGGTGGCTTTTATCGTTCAACTCCACATCGTGTAAAAAATATTACAAATTCAGATCGTTTATCATTTCCGTTCTTCTTTGATCCCAGTTGGGATAGTAATATAAAAGTATTGCCACTTCCGTCTTCCGAACCTGACACAAATGAAAGATGGGATCGCTTGAATGTATACAAGTTTAATGGAACATACGGCGATTATATCATGAAAAAGGTTTCCAAAGTATTTCCCGATCTGGCAGTTAAACAAGCTGTTGTCGTACAATAGCAAGTATTAAAAGTTTTCCACTTCTTGGACAAACAAAAATAGACTACAATTCTCACCAAAATTAGATCAGAAACTATGGTTTTTTTTAACAGGATTCTAGCATAGAATTCTTCGATCTGGATTTTTTCATGGCGATTTTGGTATAATAAATTACTTGAACTCAAACCTCTATAAAAATCTATAAAATTGGTCAAATATATAAGATGATTCTAACTATCTTACTTTTCTCACTATTTTAAACCGGACTGTAAAAAATAGTGACAATTTTCCACTGGAGGTTCTTTTCCTGCAAGAAAAACCTGTGCATCTGCCAGAAGCGGTCCGTAGTAAATAGGGAGTTCACCATATCACCTTCGTTCTGATTTTATTTGCTTTAAAAGACAGATTTTTATGTCGACAGACATTATGTATTTTTACTGGGATTTTTTGTTTTCTTGTTTAGTCATTTTTTTACAAAATGTGCATGACGTGATATAGCGAACTACGCTACATAGAAAACTTCTGAAAACGGGAGGATAATCGCTCGACATTGTAGATTGATCAGTGTACGTTCTTTTTCAAACATAAATCCAGATTCGGCGCCATAATCTACACAAGTAGAACTAAAATGTTTTTTGGACTTAGAAACTTTTCGTACATTTATAAGAGTTGATTGTCCGACGCCATTTATTCTTAAGACGAAACATAATTATTTAATTCTTTGTTCTTCATAAATAAAACATTTGAAAGCTGAGTAGAGATTTTAACTGCAATTTTTTTAATGATCTCTTTGTCTCTGTTAATATGATCAGGATGTGTCGACATCGCAACTTGTGCGCAGCATAATTGCTCTCTAGTTTTATTTCTTCTGTCTTTCGTCCCGTTTTTAGGCAAAACGTGTACCACGTGATCTAGAGAACTATGAAAGCTAGAAAAGTTCTGGAAAAGGTAGGATATTCTCCCGACATTGGAAATTGATCAATGCACATTTTTCTTTCAAATAACGGTCCAGATTCGGCGCCATAAGCTACACAAGTGGAAGAAAAATGTATTTTGGACTTAGATAATTATTGTTATCTTTGTCCGGCGCCATTTAGTCAGAGAACGAAAAATAATTTCTTCCTCTGTTTTTCAAATTTCCTTCATTGTTGTTTTATATTATAAACAGTTCAAAGAGTAAATCAAAGCACAAATGTAATGCTCACAGCGTACTGGTAGGATCTGCTTGAAACAGTAGGTTCAGTCAGAGACGGAGTCTGTCGACATCGCAACTTGTACGCAGCGCAATTGCAATCTAGTTTTTCTTTTTATTTGGTCACATTTTTTTGCAAAATTTGAGCAGCGTGATCTAAAGAACTACGCAACGTGGACAACTTCTGGAAACAGAAGGATATTCTCTGTGTAGTGCAGATTGGTAGTTGCACGTTGTTTTTTCAAACAAAAGGTCAGATAAGGTGCCGTAAGTGGCAGAAAAATGTGTTTTGGACTTAGAAAAATTTTCAAAAATATATTTATACAGCGCAAATCTTTTTAAAAATGTCATTAAAGTACTAAGAATAGAATTGTAGTGGATAGTGAAGAAAGAAAAAGAAGAAAAAGCGAATTTATTATTTGAAAAGAGAGAAATATTGAAAAGCTATAAATTCATTAATTGTTGAAAGGATTTGGAATTATAGGCGCAACAAGAAGAAGTAACAACACTAATTTCCTCGTTAGGAGATCTAATGATTCTTGTCTTTTAGTTATTTACCTCAGGAAGGAAGAAGAAGTCCCTATCTCTTCCTTAGAAGATTCATTAGGCAAAAAGGGAGATATCTCTCTTGTCGCACATGTACAGCATATATATGTGATCTCTGTTGTCTTTTGTTTCTCTTTTTCTTCCTCGCCCCTTTGCATCACATGTGTGGCAATGTTTGCACACGCATATCTTGTGCGAAAAGAGATATCATTTTTGCTAGCTGTGTATTGCTTCTTCTGTTTTAGGTATTTGCTAAAGGGACGTTTTACTCTAGTATTGTGTCATTTAAGCATATAATGTCAAAATCATCTGCGTGTTGGTATTTCCACTTCACAGCGAAAATGACCTAGTGGAAGTCTGCTAGCTGTGGATTGATTCTGGCAACTTCAGCTACTTTGGATTGAACTTTATTTTATTTAGTATGTTTTGTGTCGATCGTATTCTAGAGAAATATCTGGCTAATCAACAATTTTGTATCCGACCAGTAATTTTCAGTTTGAATTACTTTCCATTAAATATAGTAAAAAATGTCTCGTTAACTCAGTCAGATTTTTAGCTAATGAGAACAGAACATTTTTCTTTTCTCGCTTGTACTGTGAAACATATCTTTCATTTTTAATGAATCTGCGCAATAATACACACTTAAAGTTTAAAGTTAAAGAGCTATTGTTCGCACCTTATTCTAAAAGAAACTACAAAAATTATTTGTACCTCCAACATATCACGTCACAAAAACATAACTATAGATTGTCATGCACTCATTTCTGCAGCTTTTGGACGCAAAAATGTACAACTAGAAACGTAAAGTAGTTTAATTTACCTTTTTTTACGGTGTAGTGACTAAGTCAGTCTCATGATCGATTAGAGTGAACAGTATCGACTATACACTTTAGAAGTCAGTCGTATTCTCTTGCGTATTATTCCAGCATATGCAAAACGTCATCTATATGATAAAACATTCATTTCAAGAACCAAATTAAACGGTACTTACGATAGAGGTCACTAATATCAGAGCAATGATATATCAACAAAGCTTTTACTAATTGTGAATATACCTTTAGCATGTATTTATTTCATAAAAATGTATTTATGTGGATATAAACAGGTTTTGCACATACGTATTTTTAGAGCTTTCATCGCGCTCGAAGGCCCAACCTAGACAGAGATGATTGGCTACTGTATCTGTATTTCCATCCTCAATCAATCGGGTGTATTAGCGTGCATTATATCAGAGTGTACGATTATGGATAGATAATCCGACCAGTCTACCATGCCGTGGATGCTCTTAATAATTCATCGTTAAATAGTAGAAAGTGGATTTTAACACGTGTTTTATATTAATCATTCCTTATTTTCTATGTGTTCCTTTTTGAATTAATGGAACCTGATCATCTACTTCACAGCGGTTATTTCAATGAAACAATTCGGTCTTGGCAAGGTACTCATTCGCACTTAGATGTTCGTTATTTGATTTATCCGGTGTTTGTTACTGACCTCGTTAGTTTTGATGACGCTGAAGAAATTCCAAATTTTCCCAATCAGTTTCGTTTTGGACCAAACAAACTAATTGAACATTTGTCACCATTGGTTTCAAAAGGTTTATCAACAATATTATTATTTGGTGTTATCAAAAGCGAAAATAAAACACCTGATGGACAATATGCATTATCACCTCAATCACCTGTACGACAGGTTTTACCATTGCTACGAAAGGAGTTTCCATCCTTAACAATTGCTTGCGATCTATGTCTATGTTCTTATACATCACACGGACATTGTGGTTTATTAAATGAAGCTGGTCATATTGATAATGAGTTGACCATCAAACGTTTGAGTGAACTGGCTTTATCGTATGTATACGTCGGTGCGGACATTATCGCTCCATCCGATATGATGGATGGACGAATCAGTGAAATAAAACGTAGCCTTATCGATGTAAAGTTGGCTAGTCGCTGTGCGGTAATGAGTTATTGTTCAAAATTTGCGTCCTGTTTTTATGGACCATTTCGTGATGCAGCTCAATCTACGCCTAGCTTTGGTGATAGGCGCTCTTATCAGTTGCCTGTTTACTCGGCTGGTTTAGCAATTCGAGCGGCAGAAAGAGATGTAAAAGAAGGCGCAGATATTTTAATGGTTAAACCTGCACAACCGTTTTTAGACATTGTGAAAGATTTGAAACAGTATTATCCTAACCATCCATTGGCTGTGTATCAAGTATCAGGTGAATATGCCATGCTTTACCATGCAGCAAAGGCTGGAGCGTTTGATTTGAAAACGGCTGTTATTGAAACATTGACTGGCATGCGGCGTGCAGGTGCTGATATTATAATCACTTACTTTACCCCTCAGTTATTAGATTGGCTACAAAAATAGAAATGTGAAACTTTTAATTTTTCATACTCAGACCCTTTTCTAATGACAGAGGATGACTGTAGTTGTTTACTTTTATATACGTCCAAGATTAGATGTGAACTGTTTAATTTCACATGTCTGTTTTTTATTGCTACTACTCTAGGGTCTGATCAGTATTTTTTTTTAATTTGGTGATTTGCGGAGAAATATAAGGTTGTGCTTTTTTTGACTTTTTCATATTGATATCGTGTAAGAAAGCTCACGATAATTATAATCATATTTGAAAAAACCCTTCTTATTAGAACTTAATAATATATGTACGTTTCGACCTTATGGTGATCTTGTTAGACCATTAAAAAAAGATAATAGAAAAGTAAAAATTAAAACTGCTACAATTATTTAAACATACATTATACTCTTCACACAGTTAATTGTATTATATTTTTAGTATATGTACATAGTAGAACAAAAATACAAGATGGAGATAGTAGAATGAAAGAGAATCACCTGTTATTCTCGTCTTCTTCTGTCCCACTATATTCGTCTTGTATTTCACGATACATTGAGTAATAAAATACTCGTTATTTTCGTTTCGATTTGAACATATATAACCGAAAATCACGAGAATTTATGTAATTACTGATTGTTGAATAAATACTACTCAATGTATAGTGGAATACAAGACGGATATAGAGGGACAGAAGAAGACGAGAATAACAGGTGATTCTCTTTCATTCTACTATCTCCATCTTGTATTTTTGTTCTACTATGTACATATACTAAAAATATAATACAATTAACTGTGTGAAGAGTATAATGTATGTTTAAATAATTGTAGCAGTTTTAATTTTTACTTTTCTATTATCTTTTTTTAATGGTCTAACAAGATCACCATAAGGTCGAAACGTACATATATTATTAAGTTCTAATAAAAAGGGTTCTTTTACATATATCGTAATTGTTTTTTATGTGGAACATAGTTTTTAGTAAGCGAATGGTTGCTTTTTTTTATATTTATTTATTTTTGTATTCTGTATGTCAGTTATTTATTTGTTTGACGTAAGAGAACTATAGGTTCCTCCGTAATTAATCATAGGTGTTCTTTTGTAAGTGTTCAAATACTCTAAGAGAGTTAACTGTCGTTTCTATCTGAGTTTTATTATTTGTACCAGCGACATGAGTACATTTGTCAGTTTTTTAAATCTTGTTTTTGCTGGATTAAATACTTTTTGTTGTTGACATGAATTTTATCTTTTACATGAAACATATTTGAAGGATATTTTTACTTTTTTTCGACTCCTGATGTGTTTTTCAAACTAATATGTATTGAATAGAGACTAATAAACGAATAAAGACATATCAACACTTTGTTTATATATCTTCATAATTCATAAACTCTCACTATGTGTATGAAGGTTGTATAACGACGTTTGTTATATTTTAGATAAAAAAGTAAAAAACAGCAAACATGGTTGAAGGACAATTTAGATCACGTGGTTTTTCGCGGGGAGGTGGTTCTCGTGGACGAGGTGGATCTCGAGGCAGTTTTGGAGATCGTGGCGGTGGATCTCGGGGAAGTTTCGGAGATCGTGGTGGATCTCGAGGCGGTTTCGGAGATCGTGGAGGTCGAGGTAGTAAATTTATTTGAAAAACTGATATAAACAGCCAAATTTCATGCTGACGCTTCTTTTAGGTCGAGGTAGATTCCAATCTGATCGAGGAGGTAAATTTCAGTCTGATCGAGGAGGTCGTGGATCACGTGGTGGAAGTTTCCGTGGTGGTAGAGACGGAAGTTCATCGCCAGGTAAATATCAAACGTAAAACATTGGTTACTGTTTCCTTTAAGATGTAAATATACATGTCTCATTTCAGGTGTATGCTATAATTGTAATCAACCTGGTCATTTGTCACGCGACTGTTCCGAACCAAGAAAACCACGAGACAGTAATGGACAAGTTAATAAATTTGGCGCCGGTGGTAATCGTGGTGGCTTTAATAATGCTGATAATAGAAATAAAAGTCCATCAACATTTGCAAATAATAAAAACAAAAGTATTGATTTGAAAAGAAAATTTCAACAAAAGGATAATGAAGACGACAGCGAAGATGAACAGGCTAGCGACGAAGAAATTAAAAACCAACCAAAGAAAAAAAAACAAATTGAAGCTGGTGAGTAATATCGTCTAAACTCGACGGTATTTGCTATATTTTGAACAAATGTTAATTTTTTATGCGAAGTTCTGATTTTTCCTATTCGTTAATAACGTTCCTTGAGCTCTTTTAAATGAAACTATTAAAGATGATCAAAATGGTGTAGTATGTTAGAGCTTTTCTTCAACTCATTCTTTTAAACAAAAAAATTTCCATATTTGGTTCTTACTAAGTTCGATACGAATGTTCTCTAACATAAGTCAATTTGAAAATCTGTATACTATAAAACATTAATGAGCTTTGTTATTCACTTTTGTTTAGACGATGACGAAGAAGAATCGCTTGATGATGATAGTGATGTGAGTGATTAGTTTAGTTTGAAACTGAACTATAAAGTGTTTTTTTATTGTAGTTGGATGAGTCAGATGAGGCGGATTCCGATGATGAAGCAAAACCAGCTCAAACACAATTGAAGAAGGTTGTAAGAGTGCTTGTTTTGAGGTATTATAAAATGAGTTAATTTAATTTTTAATTTTTCTTTTAGTCGACTACACCTGTTGCGGGAAAAACATCAGCGCCAACTCCTGTGACAAACAATAAAACAAAACAGCAGAATTCATCTCTAAATAAATCAACGCCACCTGCAGCACCAAAAACATCAGTGAATAATAACAAGAATAAACAAACAAAATTAACACCGACAGAAGATGGTAATACAGCTCTTTACTGTATCTGTACATATTTCAACATCCGGATGAGACACTCTATTAGACTAAAATTTTTTATTCGAATTTAGATGTGGATGATGACGATGATGATGATGAAGGATCGGATGATGATGACGACGTATGTCAAGTTTGTTTACTAAAATAATAATTTAGATTTCGCAATTTTTTTTTTGCAGGAGGAAACAGATGATGACGACGAGGATGCATCGGAAGACGATGAGGTATAACCGGATGAGTAGTCAGACTAGAAAAATTGTCATGTAGTTTAGAAATCTTCAAGTTTACTACTCAGATATTTTATTTTATACTAAACTAGTTAAATTTATAAATTTTTAGGAAATCTCATCGAAAAAAATCTCCCAACAACCCTCGAAAAGTCAACAAAAACCAACTAATACACCAACAACTGCTCAGAAAAAACAAACAGCTACTACACCAACAACAACAACACCAGCCAATAAATTGAAAAACTCTACACCAGCATCAAAGAACAATAAAAAAACTGATGAAGTATGTTGTTTGCATATTTTTCGTTCAACTATAACAATCTATATTAAATGTTTTTTTAAAAGGATGATGATGATGATGATGATAGTGATGATGAAGAAGAAGAGCCAACTGTTGCTTCAAATAAAAAAACACAAGGAAAATCGTCTGCAGTCACTGAACAGAAACCGAGCGCAAAACGTAAATTAGACGCAAATGACATTTCAACAGAAAAAGTATCTGTTGCCAATAAACAAGGTAAATTTATTGTCGATAATGCCTATAGATTTACTTCTATAATTTTCTTCGCATATTTACAGACGATGCACGAAAATTATTTGTCAAATTTCTTCCACATGATGTTACCGAAACAGAATTGCAACAATTATCAACAGATATTCGTAGTGTTCAGTTGAAATCGAAAATTGCAAAATATAAAAAAGGAGATAAATTAGTTAAAAAATCTTATCCGTAAGTAACACTAGTTTGAATTAGTATATCAACTCTACAAATAGAAACCTATCACCTTTATTTATTTATTTTGTTAATTTTTACAGATTTGCATTACTTGAATTCGATAGTGAACAAACAGCTGAAAAAAATCATGCCAAATTACAAGGCAAACAAATACGAACATGGAAAATTCAAGTTGATTTTGTTGGTGAAAAATCTCAGTTTGAAAAGAAGTCAGGTATAACTTACAATCTTACGGAGCAAAATGTCTTACATTTTTTTAAGACTGAAAAACATAATTCATTTTTTAAGTGATAGACATCAATGTTAGTTATTAGTAAAACTATATCAAGTTCGTTTTTTGTCTTAGATTTTTCGTTGGATAAAAAACAACTTTATATTAGTCCTATTAAAGAATCTGTTACTGTCAGTCAAATGAAACAATTATACCCAAAAGCTAAATTTGTGAAAGTGCAAAAACGAAAAGTTGGAAAAAACAAAGTGATACAGTACGTTGTTAATAACAATGTTTTATTTTCTGTTGGACAATATTTGCTTTATTTATTTATTTGAATAGATTTGCTTTTGTTACGTTTGATGATGAAAAAGATGCTGAAGAAGGTTTAAATGCTCATACAGAAATTGGTGGAGAAAAAATACATGCCAGTTATGCTCGTGAACAAAAACCACAACAAGAGAAACCAAAAACAGATGAAACAGCCACTCCACAAAAACAACAACAAAAGAAACAACCAGGTTTGGATTAGTTTTATTTGGTCATCTATATTAAAATATACATTGGGCTAATGTTGTTTTAGAACAAGAACTTGTGATGAATGCTATCTATGTTGGTCAAATACCAGAACATGTAGAAGAAAGTGAAATTAAAAAATTATTTCCAAAAGCGACTAATCTCGAATTTTTTCCAGCACAACCAAGAAAACAAGGTGTCCGACTTGGGTAAGAGAGAATGGTTTTTGTTGGATCATTCTTTTCATGAACGTTTTTTTCAGTCACGCATTTATCACCTTTTCCGATGACGCATCAGCGGCAGCTGCTGTTAAACAAGGTAGCAGTGTGACATTAAAAAATACGCAATTGAAAATATCTTATCGTACCAAACGTGCAGAACCAGAAAAACGGCCACAACAAGAACAAACTGGTAACTATTACTTTTCTTTCTTTTAACTATTGACCATAAATATGCTGCTAAAACATAAGGTAGATGAACATAGAACATCTTTGAATGTAGATTGAGCTTAACAAGTGATTTGATTTTGTTTTTATCATTGTCTCGTTCTCAGGCCCAACAAATAAAAAGCAAAAAACTGAAAAGAGTGCAAACGAAACACAAAAGTCAAAACAAGTAACACCCTCTACTACCCCCGTTAAACAAACAACTCCAGCAACTGTTACTCCTAAACAAGAACAACAAAAAGTACCAGCAAAAGCAAGTAATGGCATAAAAAAAGAAACGCTCAATACAAAACAGCAGAAAAATTCCATTACGCCACAAGGAATAGCTCAGAAAAAAAGTGTGACAAAAAATCCAAAAATTCAAAATGATGACGATGAAGAAGATAGTGATGAGGATGACGACGATGAGGTACGTCTTAAATCAAAATGACTGTTGAAATATACCGAGCCTCACCCCTTTTAGTCAAATTTGGCTGTTTATAATAGCCGTTTTCTATATTTTTATGAAATATGTAGCTTTTCTGTATTATAAAAGTAACAGAGACATGTTTTTCACGCTTAGAACATAGTTGAAACAATCAAAACACTACACGGCAGTAATTTATTCATCATGTAACTAACTCACATTGACTTGTGAGGATCATAATTGTTCTTTAAGCTATTCAATTAATTTATTTGTATAGTGTTCTGTTTAGCACTGAATTAGGTTGCCTTCTTTTTTGTATAGGAAATGGATTTTGAAGACGATGATTCAGATGACGATTTAAACAATGATGATCAACAACTAAAAAAAACAGTCGCAAAAATGGTTGGCTCACAGGTAGATGTTACAAACTGTAACAAAGTACTTTCTGTTAAATTGCACAAAATGTTGATTCTTGTCCTATCTCTTTTGATAATATCGATTCATATTTCTGTTAATAATGAGTGAAAACGTATAACAGGATAAGATATAGAGCTGATCAGTTTGTTGGTTGATTGAAATATCTGAAACTGATTCTTTGAATCAGATATGTCGGTTACAACAGGCTGGGATAGCAGTGATAACTTGATCAATATTTCAAACAGAAAAAGTTTAAACATTGAACCTAAAAAGTAGTTTTGAACTATTGAAAGAACTCTGTGTAATCCATTAGAATATTGAATACAATCGTGAGATTTACTTTTCTTTTATTCCTCTATTATTTTTTCTTTCACAGAAAGCTACAAAACAGAATGCATCGAAAGCGGAAGCAGATGATTCGGACGATGATGATGATGTAAGTTTCCACTTTAATAACTAACTAAAATTAGATTTTTTCATTTGGCCTTTTTTATTTAAATTTTATTCAACTTGAGCTTTATATGTTATAGGATGATGAAGACGACGACGATGATGAAGACGATGATGATGACGTAAGTTGGAATAATAGATAGGTAAACAGTATACCATAAATATTCATTTCTTTTAAGGATGAAGACGATGAATGATTTAACTGAAAATAACAGGTGGAGGATGTTGTTCGACTGAAAATATAAATGCTAGACCAATGTTTGTTTTTGTTATTGTTAAAATTATTAAATCGTATTTTCGTACGTTGTTGTTTTTCCCTCTTTTCTATCTTGTTCTTTACTTTTTTGTTTCTCTTTTTCTTGGTAATTCTATGTGTAAATGAACATTCAATTTGTTTTGAATTGTTTATTTTTACTTTGTTTTTGTTATTGATCACAATACGTTGGTTTCAAAATCATACATTTGTACCACATTTTTGTTTGTCCGTGTTTTTTTGTAGAACGCAGAAAAATTGAAGTTTGTTTCTTGCATAAGAAACAAGAAGACTATTGATAATTAAGAGCTAAAGAAACGAAAAACAGAATGAATTTGTTTTAATTTTTGCTATTTGTGCATTAAATTGTACCACCTTTTTTGTGCCAGTTCACAAAATACTTTAGTAAAAATAATAAAGAAAAATAGCATTGGTAAGAAGTGTGACTTTTCACTGAAGAATAATGACAAGACAACGGATTAAAATGGAAAAACCATAGTTTTAATTTGCTGTTCACTCCATCTTTCTTTCGATGAATAAGAGCGTTATAATTATATCGTGGAACTGATTTAGTTGTTTCCAGTCAGAGTCTTATGGGTAAATCGGGCTACACGCTCAAAAGTTTTCAGTATTTAGCGTATTTCTAAGCCGTTTTTGATCGACTAAACGTGCTATTGACTATTAAGGTACAATCCATATTTGTCTACCTGTTGATGAAAAAATTTCCTTAAAATCTCTGTTCGTTTTCGAGCAGTATTCAAATGGAGACCACCGACTTCAAGTGACTCGATTTACCGCATAGGAATCTATTCTGACTGACATTCCTCTGCTTATTACCACTTTCTATGCTACAAACCAAGAGACTTTATTTCGTTGCACTGGAAAAGTTAGTACCGGACCGGACCGGACAATGTAATATACTCATATGTGCTACGATAAACATCCATAAAAATATATGGAAGAAACATCGGATCAACTTGTGATTTCAGGACCATTAACTTGTAATATTTTATTGATCGTTTAATTCTCAATATATTTATTGACATCTGCCGTCATTTTCTTAGATACATAAGTGAATAATTTGTTGTAACAAATCACATAATCTTTTTATTTAAATTCAAATTACTCAACGCTTTTTGTTGCGATAATGGACTATCGATAATGGACACCCACAGACAGCACACAGACAGCTACATAGACATCCATGGATGTCTGTTTAGCTGTCTGTGGTTGTATGTGTGCTGTCTATAAGTGTCTGTGGATGTCTTCATGTTTCACTATTACCCTACATCAAAGGCAGAATCATTCTTTCGATTTTCACTACACTGTGCTACTAGAAACTCTCAAGGAGATTTGTTTTTCTTGTTTGTAGTAGGGCGGGTAACTAACATTTCTGGCTGTTGAGATAATGATATTAGTTTATTTTAACTATTTATGACGAATAAAGAGCTGTTTGAGCATGTTCAATGAAAACAACAAAAAGAATTCATCCTCAAAAACCTTTAACTTATCTTCACGGCAAATTTCCGATGTTGTTTATACAATAATTGATCAATTAACCGAATACTGTTTGTCAGGAAATTAAGTCTCGCAGTTTCGTTTTTATAACATAAAATCAGATCATCGAAAAAAGAGAAATAACCGGTATTGTGACAAGTTACAGCGTGATGGAAATAGTCAATTACAAAATGACTTCTCGCAACCTAGTCATCTTCAAAGTTTATGCTTTCATTCATATCGAAATATACAATATTTACACACTTTTCTATCATCAAAATAGAAAATAGAGAAACACTACATAAACAAAAAAGATATTTACATCGAGATTGCAAATCTGACACCGTTATGCGAACAGAAGCAGAATCTTCAGCTAAAGCAGTCCGTGCTCAAATGGATATGATGAAGCCTCTTTATTTCGTGTCCATAATGAATCACTTTTATAAGTCTTTAACTTCTGACGATGTTTGAGCTCGATTTGTTTCTAATCATTAAGCGACGGCTTCTAAGCCAGCGGAAAAACGATTTAATGCATTACGCAAACGTTTTAATTCCGACGAATCAATTGTTTTCTGAACTACCGCTGTCGACGTTGTGTATGGCACTGGTATATTTGGATCAACTAATTCCATTGTTAGCTCAGCAATGCGTTTGAAAGAATTACCTAAGACAATAAATATACAATTAGAAGTCAACAGAAAAGAATCACGTGAAGAGCAAAGATAATTACCAGCTTCTAACACGACATCGGCAGCTTTTGAAGACAGACTCATTTTTTCACGTGAAGTACAAATACAGTATCTATTACAGAATAAATATAAATTATCAAAAAGTGACGTTAACATTGAGCGTTGTTTTGCAAACAGGAGGGACAAAACTGCGGGAGCAGTGGGACGACGCCCACACAGATCTCTGTTTATTACAGTGTATATTTGATAAACTACAAAGAAACGAGAGTTTAACCTCGATTTGTCTCTAATTACCCACACTAACTTTTGATGAACGGTATGTCAAAGTAGATAAAAGTAGAAAATTCTGTGTGAAGACGGGTAAAATAGTTCGGCATTAATTTGAATTAAGTTAATTCAAAATGGTCTTTCTCAAGAGAAATCAATTCAACTCCAGGTTTCCCAAACAGCATCTGAATCGTTCATGTCTACTAGTAAGCTTCGTCTTGAGTCCAACGCCATATTGAGTGATAGCAGACAAGAAGCTACCACAGATCTGGTAAGTGTGAATAAAGTCCAAGCCCTTTGTTTGTTGATTCTTTTGTCTGTTTACTGTGTTTTGTTGGTTACGATACGGTAGGAGTGAATGTTAGGCCTAGGTTGCCACAATCAGCATAAACTCTCAATGATGTTAGCGACCCAAGACGAGCTTTCAGTCCTAAAGTATCTTGACCCCTTACATTGTATATATTAACTCCAAGCCGCCAACCTCATAACATAAGATGATTCGTTGAAAAAGTTAACGCAAACGAAACATACAGATGTCGCCGAACAAAAAACCTTTTCGTTTCAAATTACAGTATATCATAACAAAATAGTTTGCTAAAATGGATTCAATCAAAATAAAATAATTTTATTCTGAGCGCCGACATTAAATTAAGTTCGACTGCTGTTCCGCCATTCTGCATTCCATGGAGTAAAAAAAGCAACAATCAATAGTAATTAATCGTCAAAACTATTATATGGTGATTTTCTTGACATATGATATAATATTTTTTTCGTTGATGGCCATGGTAGGCAGGCATCGATCCTTTTTGCAGATCTTGCGGGATAAGATTATAGCTTTAAAACTGTTTATTTAAAAAGTTGTTTGAAGGAGTAGGATTGTACAGCAGACTTACGTTGCTACAAAATGGAATCCGAATCAGATGTGCGGTATCGCCTGTTGAAGAGAGAATAATATACGAGAAAAAAGATCGACCAATTCCACTTTTTTACAAGGATTACATCGCCAGAATGCAGAAGTGACAGACATCTCACTTTGTTAAGCATAGATAAAGCTTATGACTGAAAATTCTCGAAATATGAAAAACAAATTGTTAGAAGATGCAGATGTTTTCACAACACATCAAAAACGAATTCTATAATTGTTAAATAACAACGTTACGATCTTTTCAATATGCAGTACTGTATATATGTACACTCTCTTTTCAAAAAAATGTATAAAGGAATGACCTACCGTCATGTCCAGAAAAAAGTCACAAGTCTTATTTAACTAGAAAATCTTGTTTTTTTACTGATATTTCCTTATCTATTCGGTGTTCACACATGTCGAGTTTAATAATGTTTTAAAAATACAAAAGAAAGTTTCTGGCATTTCATTGTATCCACAACATGAATAAACAAACAAGCGTTTACGGTTGTATCACAAACTATGCAGTACAGTAAATAAGATAGAGCATTTTGAATGACGCTTTAACACACCAAGTGTCGAACATAAAGTTCTCACGATCGTTTCATCAACATTACTCTTAAACTTAAATGAGGACTTAAGTATAGAGCTAATCTTAGCTATGACTTGACTTGAATTTGTCTTAAATCGATCGAATATGCTCTTAAGTTAAACATTTATCTAACGCAATGTTAAATCTGTGGCCATAAACTTAAGAATATTGACGAAGGATCTCATTGTTGCCTTTCTGTTGTCATTCTTCAAAAAACCATGTGTATTCATTTAGTTATTCTCGTATTTTTATTCTGGAAGATATTGGTCCTTTCTCATTTGCAGTTAAACAACCAGTGAGATTTATAGATGAGCTTGCAGGCAAGAAGTGCTTCTGTCTAATGGCTCTTTGTTCTATTAATGAAGTTGAAAGAAATGACTCACATGCGGTTATATTAGTAACGTTTCCTATTATTTTATATAAATTTATTTGATTACTAAAGAAAATCAAAGTGTAAATCTCAAAATACGCACTGTGTATACTGTTCGTGTTCGCTGAGTGCAAGCTCAGTTTTACTAGGTGTAAAAACACTAAAGAATTACCCTTTTTCAAAAGGTTCACAAGTCCTCAACTTACCGCTGTTTTCAGTTTAGCCCTATAGTAAATCGATAGACTTTTATTCCTGTGTGCGTTTTGCGTATGTCTACGTAAATTATTGGTCGTGATGGTGACAAGCTCAAGAAAAAAATTGATTTTCCCTTCGAGCAAAGTTGTTTATTCGCTTGGACGTCAGACAGCTGATGTATTTCCTAATCCTTGTTCCATCTCATCATCGCTGATCTTCCTTGTTTCTTTCAGATTCTCTTAAGATTAGAGTCTCTTTGTTGATTTTGTATTTTATATTTCTCTCTTTTATGAGACTGTAAATCTTATTCGATATTTGTTTACTGTCAGATTTGACAACAACCTCGTGTTGTTGTCAAATCAATCAAGCGTTCAATTGTTTTTTAACATGAATTAGGCTTCGCTTCGGCATGTTGCTGTTGTTCTATCATTTCTGAACATTATTTTAGCATTTGTATCAATTTTCTATGAATCTTCAACTTAATGTATTCACTTCTACGGTTTTTCGCAAGTGATTTCTGTTTAGCTAATCTGATATGTGTTTGATGTGATGATAAAGACTACAGCATGTAAACAATCTAGTTTTAACCAGAGAACTTAGCATTCTTACTACGATATTTTCTCTCACTATTTTCTGCAATACTGTGAGACAAAGCGGAAAGTAATAGTTGTAGTTAAAATAAACTCGATTCTTACACAATATTCTATTTATATCAGGTTTTTATCAATTCATATCGCAATTGCTTTTTACTATTATTACGTAGTTTTCCATATTTTTCTTTCAGATAGCAAGAAAAATGCCGACACCGACACAAACATCGATCGAAAAGGCATCAAGAAAAGAAGAATTAGCGAAAGAACAGGAACAATCATCAACATCATCATTTTCTCCTTTAAATAAAATCGACAAAGTTGTTGTCCATCCACTCGTTTTATTGAGTGTTGTCGATCATTTTAATCGTATGGGAAAAATTGGTCATAATCAGCGTGTGCTCGGAGTATTATTAGGCTCTTTAAAAAATAAAACTTTAGACATTTCTAACAGCTTTGCTGGTAAAGAAATTAATTTCTTTCATATCCTGTTTTAAATATATTTTTATCTTACCTATTTCTTTAGTTCCATTCGATGAAGAGGAAAAGGAAAAAGACGTTTGGTTTTTAGATCATGAGTATTTGGAAAATATGTACACTATGTTTAGAAAAGTAAACGGTAAGTATTTCCCGTTCATAATACGAATTTGGCTGTTTAAAATGTTTATTTGCTTTAGCACGTGAGCGTATCGTTGGATGGTATCATACTGGTCCGAAATTACATCGTAACGACATTTCTATCAACGAACTAATACGTGGTTATAATCCAGATTCTGTACTTGTTATTATTGATGCTAAACCAAAAGATCTTGGCTTACCGACAGAAGCATATATTGCCGTAGAAGAAATTCACGATGTACGTAATAGTTTTTATCAACAAAATCTTGTTTTTATTGAACTCGTGAATGCTCATGCCATGATGCCATAGCAAAAAAAAAATTGATGCGCACATTTGTACTTAGCTTAAGAGAAAGATATAACCAGATCGTCTATGTAAATACGCGCATTCGTCCAACAAAAATTATGAGCGATCATAAGAGTAAAGAAATCTCTCTCACATTTTTATTATTTAATTTGTGTTCTAGGATGGCAGTCCAGCCTCAAAAACATTTGAACATTTGCCATCAGAAATTGGCGCTGAAGAGGCAGAAGAAGTTGGAGTTGAACATCTTTTACGGTAATTTTTTTCTATTTTACTCTCTATGCAGTATATATTATAAATATTATTTGTTTATTTTTCTAGTGATATACGTAATGCAACAGTTGGAACATTATCCCAACGTATTACGAATCAGTTAATGGGTTTAAAAGGTCTAATGAAAAGTCTAAACGATGTTCGAAATTATTTAGATAAATTATTAACAAATAAATTACCAATAAATCATCAGATATTATCACATATTCAGGATATGTTCAATTTATTACCTGATATAAATCAACAAGATTTAACTAAATCAATTTATGCTAAAACAAACGATGAAATGTTACTAGTTTATCTTTCATCATTAATACGTTCCATTATTGCATTACATAATTTAATTATGAATAAAATACAAAATAGTGATGCTGAAAAATCCGATAATGCGTCAGTTACAGGTACGACTGGAACAAGTGCAGCTATATCACAAAGTGATAAAAAAAATGAAAAAGGTGCTGGTGATAAAACAACATCAAATAATAACAGTACGAATAATAATGCTAGTTAACAGATATCACTCGTCTATTCGGATCGATTATGTATTAGCTAATAAAAGAAGACAAACAAATAATCAAGATTATGAATTTTGTTGTTTTCTCCTCTGTTTTAAAATTATTGAACCTTTTTTCATTTTGTTTTAAAATAAAAAAATTATATTCAACTGAATTTAAATCGGTATGTATCAGAGCTCCATATGGACTGGGCTGAATTCAAATTTTCAAGATCATGGACTCGAAAAAAAATTTTGGATTCACTTGAATCGAGGAAAAATCAGTAAAAAACACTAAAGAACATAAAGAAATACATCCATGGACTTCATGGAGTGGAGTGGACTCAGAATTTTGAGTCCATACGGAGCTCTGGTATGTATACTCTAAAAAAAATCCGTATTAATATATAAGTCGGTTGGAAATTAGCTGCATGCATTCGTCTTATTTTAAGACAGACGAATTATCAGTTCTATCTCGATACTAGTTCAAATCCTTTTAGGTTGATTATACTAGATCGTAGGAGCATGACAGTATCTAAGTATCGTCTGTCTATATGGTGTTCCTAGACTTTTGTAAAAGAAACTGAAAAAAATTACGATCGCTTCCATCTTCTTCTGTTCTATAATTATCAAGTACCAGATGACGAAGAAGAAGAAGAAGAAGAGGTGGTTGAATCCATCGTCGATTATAGAAGTAAGGCGAGTCAGTGTCTATTAAAAATGACTGTCTTAAAATAAGACGGATAGAACAGACAGACGGACTCTTTTTAGAATGTAGACAGAATCGTTGTTATTATTAAATAATTTGACTTTAACGCAATTCGTTTGTAATGTCTTCATCTTGAATTCGACCGGCGTAGGTAATTATTATTTCACATCTCTCTTTCTATCTGTTGTGAAACGTCTTCCTTACGTTCTACATACGAAGACTGAAATTTTATAGGAAAAACGTGATCCGTCTGGAATCTTACGAGTGCTTATGTCAACAAAGTACGAACCGACCTTTGACGCTTTTTAATATGACATTTCTTAAAAATCAATAAAATTGAAAACGTTTTGCGCTTTTCATTGGGGGAGGAGCGAGGATGGTGAGAATGAGTCCCATGTTGTCGAAACCGGACGAAAGCCGTCGGTTAACTACGGTTATTTTGAGAATCGTTGGTTCTTAGAATAACCGTAGTTAACCGACGGTTTCGATAACATGAGTGAAGATGAAACAATTCAAATAGCTGAAATGTATAGCCACGACACAGGGTTCTAGAAGTCAATTTTAAGAGATTTAGAAACACTGCGCGAACACAAAATAATTCCAGTTGTGGATTGGGGTGCGAGAGGAACACTCTAGCATCTCCCACTAATCGAAAACTTCCAGTTCTGTCCAGTGAAAGCTTTTGTTCTTCATGTGGTGATCCACAGGGCCGCAGTTAACGGGAGGGTGCGCACTTCTGCTGTTTCGAATCCTCAACCTGGCAACATGGACAGCTGCAGTTACTCATGAACGCTTGTAGCTTCTCAGATTTTTCCATCATGTAAAAAATATGTAATGTTTTAGTTTAACGACAATTTCTTTCGAATTTTTTAGTGAACTTCTGCTTTGAGGTTTGAATTAATGATAATTCTAGCAGAATATTATCTGCATATCCACGATTTCTACTTCTGTCTATCTATAGATAGTTTGAATTTTCATTACCTATCGAAAGAAACATCAATTTAAAATGCTCTCATTTTATCTGCCTTTTTTTTTCTTTTTTTCCCTGTACGAGTCAGAAATGAGCAACTTGTCGGTTCTCTAATTTCTAATGTCGACGGATAGACAGGTTATTTTTCCATCCGTCTTAGACTGTTGAAAAAAGAATGTATACGATGATTTTTTTCTTTTTTTTTCATTATATCTCTAAGCTTACATGAGACTTTTACGGTTTTAGTCTGAGCAACAGATACACATCCACCGAAAAATTTTCCATTGTGTTTGAAACTGGCATTTAATAACAATGGATACATTAATAAAAGGTATAATTACAGGTTTAATTAATGAGATGAACTAATTACTGCATCGTTATACCTTCACCTATCTCCGGTACTTCAAACTCTTAATCTTTTTCTAAGAGTCATTACCGCGTGCTCAAGTGAATATTACAGGATGTGAAATTTTGAGTGCCATGTAATGAGCCAATTTGGAGACATTACGTATACTCTCTAGCTAATTAAAAACTAAACGTTTCCTAGACACAAATGATTTCATAATTGATAGAATTCTAGTGAACTTTCTTATGTCAATAAAACATAAGATCAGCGGAGCAAGGATGGACCAAGATTTTAATGTTTCTTGCTAAGAACTAACGCTTCTTTGTTTAAAATAACAAGAAATGTCACTTATTTATTCTTGCTGAAGTTTCTTAGCAAGAGACAGTAAAATTTTGGGCCATCCTTACCCCGGTGTTCTTATGTTTGAGTCAGGAACGCCAGTAAAGTAGGCTAAAGATTGTCAGTATACGGATGGTAGAGAGACAATATGCATTCTCCAGTGTATTTATTAGTCCTCGATTTATTTCCAAGACGTGTGCTTTAAAAATTTGTTGAATTGAGTAACTAAACATCTAAATCGTTTTTTCGTTAAAAAGATCCAGAAACTCATCGGAGTCATCAACGACAAGTATTGAAACGTTTATTTCGATATTCTCGTTCTGATTGGAAATTAATATCTGTTGGCACTATTCTACTATTGGGAGCTGCTTTATGCAAGTAACAATCTTTTTGAAACGCGAAAAACATAAATATTTATAATGACATGAATTGTTTTCATTTTAGCTGATGTATTTGTTCCATTATATACTGGTCGATTGTTGAGTAGTGTCGCATTCAAAGAAGCGTGGCTTGAGTTCAAGCACAATTTGATCATGTTTATTATTGTCAATTTTTCACAGTATGCCTATTATATCTACTATCATCAAGCTTTATTTATGTATGCTCTTTTAGAGGCTTTTTAGGTGGCTTTCGAATTGGAGTGTTTGCAGTGTGTGTTTCACGCTTGAATATCCGGTTAAAAACAAAATTATTTCGGTCATATGTTAAACAAGAAAGTAGGAAATTATTTCAATCTCTTTTGAATTTGTTCTAATCTAGTGTAATGTTGCATCTTCAGTTGGATTTTTTGATACCCATGAGAGTGGCAAGTTACTATCACGATTAAATCACGACATCCAGGTTATGAGTTCCATAGTGGCAAATAACATAGCTCAGTGCGCTGGCGCCTTGGTAAAATTTGGTATGATTTTCTTACATAAAATAAGCTTAATTATACCCTCATAATCTCTTCATTTTAGTTGGAACTTTAATTATGATGATCAAACTATCATATCACCTTACAATAGCTTGTTTAATTGGCGCACCCTTAATACTAATAGTTGCAAAAATTAGTGGAACAGCCCATAGAGTAAGTACAATATGTTTAAGTGCTAATTACACTGGTAGCACATCTCTTTTTTTTCAGCGTATATCCGAGAAAGTACAAGATTTATCTGCTGAAGCATCAGAAATATGTGAAGAAACCATACAGACCATTCGTACAGGTAAGAACCGTAGGATACTACTGAAAATAGTATTTTTTTAACGAACATTTTTGATTCATTTAGTACGAAGTTTTGGTAATGAAGATGGCGAATTAAAACGATTTGTCCGCATTTTACATCAAGCTTATAAAGCATCTCTTAGTCAGGCAGCACTATCTGCAGCTCAGAAATGGTTTGTGGAAGTGAGTTGCAAATACAGTCTCTATTTTTCTTGACTTTTAAGTATTATTTAAACGTTCTTCTCTTATGTTCCACAAAATATTTTCTTTTTAGCTATGCCAATTGGGTATGAGTGTTGTTATGTTGTCATATGGTGCAAAGTTAGTGCGAGATAACAAAGTGGCTGGCCCAGATTTACTGGCGTTCATTATTTATCAACTGACTCTTGGTGCTATTTTATCGGTGTGCAAATAGAATTTGGGAGCTAGTTCTAGTAAATCAATTTTTTCTGTTGATCTCGTAGGACATCTCACAAATTTATACGTCAATGATGTCAGCAGCAGGGGCTAGTGAAGCTGTATTCGATTATCTGGATCGAAAACCACAAATGGTAATCGGTAATGGTTTGCAACCAGATGAATTTCAAGGAGAAATTGAGTTTCAACAAGTATCATTAAGCTATCCAGCGCGTCCAAATGAAATTGCACTTGATGTAAGCTGAGCTTCTACAAGTCGTGATTGCTGACAACAGTTCATTTTTATTCCTTTTAGAATGTTTCATTCAAAATTGAGCCGGGCCAAATTTGTGCATTCGTTGGTCCAAGTGGATCAGGTATGAAACATCATTTAGCTATATTTATCACTTGCAGTTGTTTTCAAATGAACTACATGTAGGAAAATCCACTTGTATCAATCTTCTCGAACGCTTTTATGATCCAAGTATAGGCAAAATACTCATCGACGGGTAAAAGTACTATAGATGTTTATTCAAAAACATATTTTAATTCTCGGTTTTCTTCCGTTGTAGATATGACATTGCAGATTTTGATCATAAATATTTGCACAAAAAAGTAAGTTATATTCAGCTATATTCGACATGGTTTATCAGTATCTTATATTCAATCTAGATTGCTATGGTTAGTCAAGAACCTGTGCTATTCAATCGCTCAATTCGTGAGAATATTATTTATGCATTGGATAATGGTAGTGATGTGAATGACGAGGCTAATAATGATTTTTAAACTACAGAAATAATTGATGCAGCTAAATTTGCGAATGCTCATACATTTATTACTGAACTCGTTGATGGTTATGAAACACAATGTGGTCAGAGAGGTGGACATTTAAGTGGTGGTCAGAAACAAAGAGTATGCATATCTCGTGCAATTATTAGAAAGCCCACTATTCTTCTGTTAGATGAGGCAACATCATCGTTAGACCCGGTGAATGAACGTTTGATTCAAGATGCTTTGTTTGAAAATAAGAAAGAGAGAAAAACAATCATTATCTCGGCACATCGTTTGAGTACGATTGAAAAATGTGACAAGATCTTTGTTATTCATAAGGGACATTTGATTGAGCAGGGTACCCATAATGAGTTGATGTTAATTAAAAATGGTGTATATCAAGAACTTGTGAGACGACAAAAAATGGATTTGAGTGAAAAAGAAATAGAATGATAGGTGCCAAATTCCTATGAATTCTATATATTTTGTATTACTTTTGTTTTTAAAATGATAACTCTGCTGCTGTGCAGTTTTATGTTTTTAAATGTTGTATGAAATCAAAATGTTCATTTGTTATATAATACTATTTTTAATATAAAATAATAAATCAGAACAATTTGTCAATGACTTCATCATGATACGGTGAAATATGAAATAGGAGTTATTGAAATGAAGCTATTAAAAAATTCAATTTTTCTATGTGTAGAAATGAGCACGTCCTTGGATGGTATGTTCTGTTACATAAGCAACATTTTAACTTCTCTTCTCTCATGATTGACATAAACGAAATAAATTGTTTTTAAACATAATTAAACTTGGCACAAAACTTCCAACAAAATAAGTAAATACTAACGAGTTCTCATATGAAACTCCTCAGTAACTTACAAAAAAAAAAGTGTTGTCTGCACTGATTTTTTTCCTAACTATAGCGTACAACGAAAGAGACGTGCCAATACAATGAAAGTATAGAGATTTTTCTTCTGTTACGTACGCTATATGCCATAATAGCAGACATTTTTTTATTCTATTTTTGCAATAAAAACTATATGTTATAGCAGAAATATATCTACAAGTCTTTTTTTTCTTCTATCAGAATTGAATCAAAAACTTACTCCTATATTTTAGCGTATATAATAAATATATTTGTCACAGAAAAAAAATGAGACAACACAACACTAATATTCATCTAGCGCGGACGGATGAAACAGAACAAAAGGGAAAAATAAATTCGGAGAGTACTCGAATAACACACGCTTCATATGATTTTAGTTCGGTTTTTTTCTTTTCTTCTTACATGGTAATCAACGGCAATCATATTAGATCTTCTATTCTAACAAATCAGCTATTTCATTCGTTCGGAGAATAATCTGTTCTGAAACGTAAGTACTATAGACATTCAGCCTTGATCAAAGACGTTTTAAGTTAAACAAACAACTATCTACTTCTTTTTCGCAAAATAATTAATTGTATTTTTTATTTTACGTTAAATAAACATGGTTCTTAAATGCCTTCCTTATTGTATAAATTGTTAAATACTATATGAAGTGGCACAATCATTTTATATTCTCATTTCGCTTATCAATTTAGAGCTAAACGAGTTTTCTTTATAGTAAAATAATTCGTACATCTGATCTCAGAACACTAGAATTTAAGAGGTCTGATTTGACGATCATCTTATCTCATACTTTATTGTACTAAAGTAAAAAAAGTTCAAATGAGTGCTTTCTCTATCACACAAAATAAAACAGAATACCTTGTATTGAATGTTTTCTTCCGTATTTTTTCCTATAGATATTATCTCTATTAATGAACTTTTTCGACCGGTTTTATTTGAAAATTTCCTAAAATAACTTCAATAAATTCTTGTGAATAATATAATTAGAATATGTCGATTTAATCTATTTCAATGAATTGGGTTCCGTTTCCTTTGGTTTTTGTAAGAACAATTCGAAAATTAAGGGCATGACTCAAAGTCAGAATATCTAAGGGTTGTGAATTGTATTTCTAATTTGGAGAGAAGTTGAAGAATCTATTTGTGAGTTTGTAAAGTTTCCATAGACATTAGAAATTTATAAATAAGACCCACCAATGTGAACCTGAATGCTTTTATTTTGCTTTTTGCTCGTTTACCGAAATAAATCGAATATTTGTTTCCTCTCCGGCATTACTCTATAAATAAAAAGTAAAAATAATTTATATTTACTACTATCAATAGCTGTAGTTCGTTATTATTTGAGTATCATAAAAAAAAACACACAATTTACAAAAGTACTGACTGCTACCTGTTAATATTTATATGCTATTTTGGTCGACACAATTATCGTAAAAACACGAAATAGTCACTTTATTTATAAAGTTCAAAATCATTTTACATCAGAATATCTAAAAAATCGGATGTTATTATTAATTGTTAGGTAAAAAGAACAAAAATATAAAGCAAATATGTTAAAGTTAAATTAAACAACCAAATCGATAGAAAATGATAAGGGACCGAGTGAGACGTTTAGAGAATTTTATTTGACTGTGAAAATTTCCACAAACATTCCATGTTACTTAGCCGATGTATTGTTAAGAAAAAAAATCCGTCTGGATCCCTAATTTCTCATATATACGGAATATTCATCTGAATAAGCCATTTTTAGACTATAACCGTTGAATAGTATTTGAATTTGACGTAGTATCATTCAAAAACTGCAAAAATATAATTACTTTTGTCTAAAAGAGAAAATGAATGCAACAATACCACTTTTTTTATCAACGAATAATTAAAAATTATGAATTATCAGCTTCAAAGTGGCTAGATCTAATGATCTTGTAATTCTATATATACGCGTTTGAATATACCGATTCTTCCATGAACTACGTACCCCACCTCTGAATAGAAGAGCATGGCTTCTACTATGTCCCAGCGGATCAAACTTTTTAGGATGGCCTTCTATTAGAGGCGGCTTTCTAATCCGATCTGCCAACTAAAGTTTTCTAACATTTTTCGAAACCCGTAAAAAGCCTAGAATAATGAGCGTTTTCGTTGCACAACAGGTAACTAATTGGTGCTCTAGGGAACTCAACAACTGAGAACCCGAGTTTGAGACTGTCTTTACATCTCCGAAGCTTTGCAAACCCAAAACAGTCATATGAAAGATCGTCATACAGACAATTAAGCTGCTGTATATTCGCTCCTATCGAATTTTTCCTCATCTCTGCGATTCCGGCACCTCCTGTTGATAAACATCAATTATGAGGATCAATATACTTATTGTCTAGTTTCTGTTGATTTGAGCGCAATATAATCGGTCGCGATGACTGAATCGATTATACTTTTCTATGTTCGATGTTTAGGGTTACTTGATCGAAGGGATAATTAGTAAAGACGAATCATTCTCTATACTTCTGTCACAACTCTCTGCTGCGAAAATTCCAAGAGCCAAGATTGAAAACATGCAATTTACGGTTTCTAGAAGTCAAATGCTCAAAAATTTTCGAAAAAAGCGGCATGATCTTATTAGAAGGCCATGGTCTTCAATTCTGGGGGGTGGGGGGTTACTATCCTTCTTATCAACTTCTAATCATAAACAAAGGTCATCTCTTTGAAAAAATATTATCTAGTGACTCACACTCACGTCTTGAGTAGAGATATGCACGGTAAAAGCATTCGGTAGCCGTATCTGACAATCTTTTATCCGATATCAATCCATCGGATAGGGTATCTATCGGATTACGCATCGTAAGTCTTGTGCTACTCCTCGCCGCTCTCATCGGCGGACGTTATAGAAGCTTTTTTGCTTTGCATAAACAGGGGTATTTAAAATATGATTCTAGTTCGAGGAAACGTCGGTTCGCGGAAGAATTGTGTTTCGACGAATTTGTAAGAAGTTTCATAAGCTTTAAAATGTTAGATAGTAAAACAATATTTCTATTTTTGTTGGAAAGAAAAGGACTACGTCAATACTAACTGTCTATTGTGTGGATATATAAGATTATTCTAAGCTCTCTGCTTTCATGAAAATAACCCCTCTCCCAGACTACAAAGTCATGACTTTCTATTATGGTTTCGTGCATCGGATGTATTTTTTCGAAAAAATGGTACTAGGGCGCTTTTGAAAAAATTTTCATCCAAACTGGCCTTCTGTTTTGAGGACGAGTTTACCACAGTTAACTGTTATCTATATATACGTTGTAGAGAGTTTCAAGAGCTATCCAATTATATATTTACGTAGTGGTATAAGAGGAAGAAACGTGAGAAAAATATCTTTTACTTACTCTATAAATGATCTTTGATTGATGCTTTCCTCAAATTTTAGTCGCCAAATATTCTTTATCATCCTTATACGGTTCCCTTCATTCCACGAATCAGTGTATATTTTTCAAATAGTCAGATTTGTTTAAGAATCTGAAGTGTTGTGTGTGCGATTTCTGATTAAATCTAAAGAATATTCTTCTGTATGCCTTATGTTGTTTTTCTTGTGTACCTTGCGAAGAACATATTTAACATTAAAGCGCAACTTAATTTTTGCAATCAGTTCTTCTTTGTTAAAAGTAAAGCTAACACACAGTTCTTTATTAATAATGTGGCAAATTACAAGCACGTTTTATCTGTTATCATTCGCGCCTCTTCAAGAAAACGATTTTGTGTATTGTTTCCTTCTTAAAAAATGAATACTTGGTTTGATATGTATTTTTAATGACCATACAGTTAATTCAATGAAAAACATTCGATTATATAGCGCTGGTAAAAAGAGGCTCTCACTCAACTTTCACAGATATCATGGTAACCTTTTACTAGTTTTATAGCGTCGCAATGCATGTTACGTTGTCTATGTTCCGTTACATGCATCAAGCTTTTTCAGTCGGTTCAACTAGTTGAAAAACCACGTGACGCCGTTAGTCTAGAATTCCGACGCATATATTAATAATTTAGTCTTCCTAGTCTACGCGTTGTCAACCATATGCTTAATATTTCCACGTGTATAAATACACTGTATGACATTAGAACCAAAAACTATAAAAGAGTGGAATCAATTACCAACAGAAGTGATTGCTGCCTTTAGTGCTCGAGCTTTTAAACGACGTGCATTAAAGAAACATCTCGTTTCTTAAAGTAGTTAATAGTACATATTAAACCATATTCTATTTAACTGTGCCAGTTTTTCTATTGTTAAAACTTCTTTTCTATTTTTTCTTTTTACTGGGGATGACTTAGACAAGTTCTTTGTTGAACTTTTATTATTACTTTGTCATTTTTTAAGATCATGGACTAAAATGAAATTGAGAAGGTACTGCCTATGCATGTCAAAGAGTAGAATTAATTCTAATGAGGGACTATCGTCAACTGTCCAACTCCGATTTCAACGATCTTTTGCCGATAGATACTATATAGTGTCCTAGTGATAACCCTAAAAAAATTTGGGTATATGGCTCTTCTTTCAAAAGTTAGGAATTTTTCTATGTTCCCG